TAAAAAAAAAAGTTAAAAAAAAAATAATGGCTTTCTCTCTCATAACCCACTGTTCATCTTCTTCCTTCTACCAAATCGTGATCTTCTCTCTCTCAAAACTCTCATTCTACCATCGATTAGTGACATAAATCCTGATTTCTCTTTAGAAATTTCTGTTTCTCTTCAAATCTCCAGCGAAATTAGAGAGTTGAGGAAGATATGGCGTCGAGAGCGAAGAACACAACTTCAAATCATCGGTGGCCTCATCTTCATCTTCCTCCGAAAGTGAGAACCGTAAGCAAATTTCAGAGTTAAAAGAACAAATGGTAGGTTAAACAAACACTTTCTCATCAATTTTGTTGGATTTTGAAATGTATTGTTGTTGAGTTGAAGTTTGGATTTTGGGTTTTGTAAGTAGAAATATATGGTTTTAGGTTTATGAAATTTTGGGAATTTCGAAATAGAATGTTGTGTTTCTGAAATTTTGGGAATTTCGAAATAGAATTTTGGGTTTTAAGTGAAATAATTGATTGGCATGTGAAATGATTTAAATCGAGTTAAATGAGTCAGTTTGGGTCACATGGTGATTTAGGACAATTAAATGGGTAACGGTATCATATGGGTCGATATATAGATGTATGAATGACATGATGATTTGAGTCACATGGTCACAGGGTTACAGTGTCATATAGGTCACATTGTGGTATGGTCACAAGGTCACATCTTCATATAGATTACATGATTACAGGTCATATGGTGGTATGGTCACAAAGTCATCTCTTTTTATACGTCACAGGGTCACATGTCACATGATACCATGTCACAGGGTCACAGGTCACATGGTACCATGTCACACGGTCACATGGATTTTGAAACATGATCCAGAATGCTAACATATATTTTTTTTGTAGCGCATTGATGAGACAATGTATGAGATACGACTCTGCGTTTTATAGAATTCGGTGACTTAAATAGGAAGCAATTACATGGTTAATGACACTATTTTCACGGAGCACATCAAGTGGTGGGAAAAATCAGGCGACTTTCCAATTTTAATTTGGGCGATCTCGGGTCCTACTTCAAAGGATATCTTCCACTTGGATGTGCAGGAACATCGTTGACTAACTTTTATTTCAGCTAATAATTTATCTCTTTTTTTATGAACATTAAGTATAACATTCTTTTATTTGTTTATTAGAATACTAAGTTATAAATTTTTTATGCTTTTTGTTTATTTATATATGAAACTTTTTATAGAGTTAACAAAATATAGGTTGAAAATAGTAAACAAATGAATCCCACCGAAACTCTAAATTGTCAACTGTAACTTTTCTACACACTTGGATGATACTAGACTCCACCAGAAATATTGCATGTAAAAATTTTGGAGGGAAAATTTTGGAGGAAAAATTGTTAGAGAACAAAATTTGGATTTAGGTGTTTTAAACTCAAACTATTATCATGTTCACATGGTCACATGAGACCATATTGGTATGGTCACATGGTACCATATTCATATGGTCACATAGTACCATGTTCACATGGTCACATGGTGTCATGGTGTCATGGTATCACGGTGCCATCTATTTTCATGGAATTAAGAGTATACTAAAGAAGGAAGCGTTTGACGAAGTACTTTTTTTTTTATTTGGAGGAATTGACATCATCGAGTTCATGACTTGAAAATTTGTTCGACAAAGTCTTCTAAAAAGAAGAAGAATGGAAAAGGTCTGATAAATGAAGAAGAAGTAGAAGATGAGCGAGCAAAAGAAGACGAAGAACAACAAGAACAAGAAGAACAACAATTATATGTGATGACAATGTCACCAAGATGCATGAGTAGTTGACAACCGTCGTATTTGTCAATAGAAATGTTCAAAAGTAGAATTAAGAACTTATTTATGTTATGAACTTATTTGTTTTTGTTATGACATTTTGTTTGTTTATTATAAACCTACAGAATTTTATGTTATGATATTATGTTTTATTTTATTTTATATTTGAACATATGAGGTGAAAATATTGGAAGATAAAAAATTTGGGTTGAAAAATTTTGGAGGGAAAAAAATGGGTTAAAAAATATTGGAAGATAAAAAATATGGGTTGAAATGTTGTGTCCCACCAAAATTAGTGTTGAATTGTCAACCGTAACTTTTTTGCACACTTGGATTACACTGGGCCCTACCAGAAATATTACATGTTCAAACTGGGACCCACAATATTTCGGTCACAATAGGTCACAGTTGGTCACAAGGTCGATTTAGTGGATTCTTTCAAATGAATCGATCTGATTGTCATCACATCTTCCATATACACTATTTTGAACTATATTTAACTATAATAATTGAGTTATTCAAATTTTGTGTGCAAAAGTAGTTCTAAAAAATGTGATACATTAGTGTTCATGGTCTTATTGGTCACATGCTGGTCACATGGGACCCAACCACTACTTATATGAGATAATTTATTTACTGTTTTTTAATATGTAAAATGAAACCAAAGTATTATAATGCATTATTTTAACACAATATTATACAAAGATCTTAATGTTTTAATGTACATATATAATATAACATTATTATACAATTTATATTTCTTTATTCATTCAAAATTAGGGTTTCACTGAAATTTTGTTGATATTGATACTCTTGTTGTGACATAGATCCACTTTTGAACTACACTAGGATCTAAAAAGCGGTTTTGTTTAGGTCTCTCACTTTTTTGTTTGTCTTCCAATTTCTTTGTACCCTTCATAACTTTACTAGATTTTGATATGGGTTTACAACTATGCATGAGATTGTATTTTCTTACACTCCAACGTTTCGAGTTTAAGATCAATGTCGTACGCAACTTCCAATTACAGCCGGATCCAGTAACTTCCAACACTCTTTGGTTTTTCATCACCTTTCTTTCTCATTCATATTCTCCATTCTTTTTCATTATCCATTTACCATCATACATAAAATATACAATTGTTGATCTCTTATCTCGTCCGTCTATAATAGTTGTAGAAAACATAAGTACAAAATGCAGATCAATTCGACTATTCTGGACACAGTGACCATGTGACCATTATTACCATTTTTGACTATGTGACTATGTGATCATATGAACATAGTATCATGTGATCATTACTACCATTCGACCATTTAATTTAAATCCATATGACCATTATTATCAATCCGACTATTAAGGAGATCATGTGATCGTTTCACCATATGAACATGGTACCATGTGACCATATGAACATGGTACCATGTGACCATATGAACATGGTACCATGTGACCATATGAACATGGTACCATGTGACCATGCGAATCTGGTACCATGCGACCATGCGAACCTGGTACCATGTGACCATGCGAACCTGATACCATCCGAACCAAATCTATGACAATAACATAAAATAAAGGACAAAACTTCACAAACATCACCAAGTAGAAGAAAAGAAGTGGAAAAAACATCATTTTTCAACAATTAGAAGAAAAAAGGTAGAAGAAACATCACTGTTCATCATGTAAAACCGACAACCATCAACGTGGATGAAAAAAAATAAGATTTTCACAATTGTTTACCTATTTTCAACTTCTTTGACAATTTTGCACTGATTTTGTTTTGATTTCTACCGATTTTGGAGAAAAAATTGAAAGATTTAGATGAGAGAGAAAGTGTAGGAGAGAGAGAGCTCAATGTCGACAATGGAGAGAGAGGCAGGAGAGAGAAACCGGAAAGAGAGAGGAGAGAGACAACTAATTTTTGGAGAAATTTTTTATTAAAAATTAAATACAAAAGGGTATTTTAGTTATTACTAATTGAAGAGGGTATATTAGAAGTTGGATTTTTTTTTTTAAAAGGAGAGGGTATGAGTGGAAGTTGATGTAGCACATTAAGGGTATAACGGAAGTTGCCCCCAGAAAGCCTATATATACAAAGTTTGTTCTCGCATCGAAAGTTTACCTGATCAACGCATCTGAAGGATAGCAGGTAGGGTCTTCTATTATAAAAAAAAAATTGCTTAGGGTTTCACAATTGAATTTGGTTTCGAGTATTCAATCCAAAAATTTATTTTGAAGTCGATGTTCTTCTTTGGTTTCGTGGAAGAATTTGTGCATATTGTGCTCAACTTGATTGAATTTTGCATTGGATATGACTGATTCATTCATCTCTAAAACAATACCATTCAAGAATTTTTACCGAAGTAGAACATTTCTTTTAAATTCATATAATGAAACCGTTTTGTTAAAGTGTAAATATTTTTAAAAAGATATTTCTTAGAAAAAACCCTATGTGAGTTGGTTGAATACTAGTTTTTTTAAATACGACTCTTCAATTTTAAGGTAGCGCGTCAATTTATCCAGTGCACATCCTAACGGTAGTGGCTGCGGGTCTCATGTTATAGAAAATATAATTTTTTTTGTACAACCTCGTATCTATACGAACTCTAGAGTTGAATGCATTTGCATGTAACATGTTGGGAAGTTGTTCCATGCGCATTCCTCGGAGTCAAGCATGCATAATAAAAAAAAAGCATTGAAGTTTTTTTTTTTCTGGTTGTTGAATAAAAAGCATTGAAGTTTCCATTAAAGGATTCAGTTCCCACATATTCGCGTAGATTCCACAAATGGTTTTAAACATCACCGCGTGCATACATATATACATATATATATATACATGTATATGTATAATCCAACAACTTGATGATATAACTATAAAATAAATTTTTATTATAAAAATCTCGTGTTATAAACATCAACCCACAAATCCCATCGTCATATATTTTTCAATAACAAATTGCTTACAACGTGGTTTCCACCTTGCAAAATAAATTATGAACATCTTATTGTTTATTCGCCATTCAACACCTTCGTATTTAAGTGACAAAATCACTTTTGTTGTATGATTAGCAATTAATTTTTATATCTTAAAAAGATAAAAAAAAAATATTGAGCCCTTCATGGTTAGACTATTTATAAATGCATTCCTTCGCTCTCTTCTTCAAGCCCATAGCCTCTCTCTATTCCGTACATCCACAGTTTCGTATTTCAGATTTGTAATTTCACCACAGTACGTGACCTCGCATGATGTCTTATCCCCCGACAATAACTATCATGTTTATGTTTCTTCAAGTTGTCCAACGTTAAATCTTTCTCTCGAAATACACCAGACCCTTTCCTTTTCTGAGTCTTGGTAACATATATATTATAACCACTGCTTTGACTTCTAACTTAGTACTGAACCTGTTAACTTGCAGCATAAGCGAAGAGGAAAGGATGTGGAGGCTGAGGATAGGAAAAGGAGGGGGTGATCCTAACTTGTTCAGCACAAACAACTTCGTCGGCCGGCAAACTTGGGAGTTCGATCCCGGTGCAGGCTCTCCTCACGAGCTGGCCGAGATCGAGCAAGCCCGGAGAAAATTCTCAAAGGATCGGTCTGAATTCAAGGCTAGTGCTGATCTCCTCTGGCGGATACAGGTGATTGTTTGCGAATTACATATATATATACATATATATATATATATATATATTAAGATTTTCCATTTGCACGCCTCTAAATGTTAATATTTCAACAGTTTCTAAGGGAGAAAAACTTCGAGCAAAAGATTCCACGGGTGAAGGTTGAAGATGCCGAGAAAATCACGCATGATGTAGCCGAAACGGCGCTTAGAAGAGGGGTTCACTACTTGGCGGCCCTGCAAGCCGGTGATGGACACTGGCCTGCAGAGAATTCGGGACCTTTGTTCTTCCTCCCACCTTTTGTGAGTTCAACTTCAACTTTTTAGTTATCTTTTGGAACACATTCCATACATGAATGATAATCAATGAAAGGAAAATATATTTTTTTTCACAGGTTATATGCCTCTACATTACCGGGCATATGGAGCAGATCTTCTCTCCTATGCATCGCCAAGAGATCTTACGTTACATACACAACCATCAGGTACTTATTCATCGCAAAAACATTCAAAAACGGATTTCAGTTTATTGAGCTCTTTTAGTTACCATATCGACATTTTCGTTGTAGAATGAAGATGGTGGGTGGGGAATAGCTGTTGTAGGCGACAGTGTTATGTACTGTACTGTTCTTAATTACATCTGTATGCGAATTCTCGGGGTGGCACCTGATGAAGATGCTTGCGTGAGAGCTCGGAAATGGATTCTAGACCATGGTGGCGCGACATACACACCACTTATCGGAAAAGCTTGGCTCTCGGTACGTACAATTCACAATATATATTTAAACTCCTGCAAAACGAACCCGTTTGTTGAGCTAATTGATATCATGTTTCACACTAATTTGTTCTTTCTACTCTTCTAGATTCTTGGAGTGTATGAATGGTTAGGCTGCAAACCGATGCCACCTGAGTTCTGGAGTCTTCCTTCGTTTTCTCCTATCAATGGAGGTTTGATAAATGATAACGATGGCTTCTTTCTCATATAGTTCGGTTAAACTATGAGGTTACATTCTGAAAACTATTTACAGGTACAATTTGGATATATTCCCGGATCGTCTTCTTGCCCATGTCATACTTATATGGTCGAAGATTTGTCGCTTCCCCGACTCATCTCATTCTACAGCTTCGGGAAGAGCTTTATCCACAGTCCTACGATAAAATTGACTGGAAGAACATGCGCCATCGATGTGCAAAGGTAAATCGACACAACAAGTGAGTATATATATATGTTGGAGATCGGTTAATCGACATCATAAAAGAGTCTCGGATACTTGGCTTTTCTGCAGGAAGATCTCTACTGCCCTCACTCCTATGCACAGGAACTCCTGTGGGACAGTGTTTATATTCTAACCGAGCCTTTTCTAACCCGTTGGCCCTTCAACAAGTTGATACGACAAAGGGCTCTTCAAACGACAATGGACATCATTCATGATGAAGATAAAAATGGCCGATACTTGACGGGCGGATGCACGGGAAAGGTAATGAACATCAATATTCTTTATCATGTATGTCTGAATATATGCTAAATATTCTTCTCTTCTTGGACAGCCTTTGTTTATGCTTGCCGCTTGGGCGGAAGATCCGAATAGCGATAGTTTTCAGAAACATCTTGCTCGAGTCCCGGATTTCATTTGGATGGGAGAAGATGGAATGAAAATCCAGGTCAAGCTTGATAGCTTTGCGTAATTAAACAAAATTTGACGGCTTTTGCGTATTGAAAACTCTAATGAACACTCAAGTTTTGTTATTGATGTGTGTAGACAATTGGTAGTCAAATATGGGAGACGGCTTTAACGCTTCAAGTCTTGCTAGCAACTGATTATGCAGAAGAACTGAAAGAAACCCTAATAAAAGGATATGAATTCTTCAAGAAATCTCAGGTTGAGAAAATATATTATGATTCTTAATTTAGTCGATATATATATATATATATATATATTACCTAATATTAATGTGTAACACGTTTAGATGTTTATATATATAGATCACAGAGGATTCTTCGGGAAAATATCCAGCAATCTTCCGTCGCATCACGAAAGGCACGTGGACATTTTCGTGCCGAGATGATGGATGGCCGGTTTCTGATTGTACCGCAGAAAGCTTGAAGGTTTGAGCTTTTGCTTTGTTTCGGAGATCTTAACAATAAATATAAAACGAATGGCGTGCCGTAGAATATATGCTTTTCGTGCGTCATGCAGTGTTGCTTAATCTTCTCGGCCATGCCATTCGAGATCATCGGCGAAAAAATGAAACGAGAGAGACTATATGATGCTGTTGATTCAATTCTCTTGCTACAGGTAAACCCAATGGAACCAAGAAGTTTTTAGATTACACACATCATAATAGTTCCAGAAGTGTTGTTATGAAGCAAACCAGTGTTACTGATCTCTCATGGTTCTGAAATACTTGTAGAGCAAAAACGGAGGCATGCCAGTGTGGGAGCGAGCGAAAGGGAAACCATGGATGGAGGTACAGTTTTTTGCGTCCTTATCGGTAATTTGCTTAAGATACAGATTTACAAACATCAGATACCCTTTACTATTCAGCGCCTCAATCCAGTGGAGTTCATAGAAGATGCAACTTTAGAACACGAGTGAGTCGCCTTCACATGTTCTGTCTCCTTTTTCTTTCTTTATAAAGAATCTTCAAAATCTGTAAACTCAAAACACTTGGAATTTCAGGTTTGTCGAATGCACATCCTCAGCAGTTGTGGCGTTTGTCCTTTTCAAGAAATTGTTTCCAAACCACAAAGAGAAAGAGGTTAAAGGGTTCATTAGAAATGCAGTTAAGTACATCGAAGACAAGCAATTGCCCGATGGTTCTTGGTACGTTTCTCCTCAGTTAATTTATGGCTCAGTGAAACCACAATGCCTACAACTAGCTGAAGACGTTTGAGGCTTCGTTGTAATACAATCGTGTATATGTGTATGTGTGTGTATGTACGTATAGGTACGGGAATTGGGGTATATGCTTCTGTTACGCTACGTGGTTTGCCATGCGTGGACTCGTTGCTTCTGGTAAGACTTACCAAAACTCTGCAGCTATTCGCAAGGCGGTTCAGTTTCTTCTCGACAATCAAAACCCGGATGGCGGTTGGGGTGAGAGTCATCTTTCTTGCCCCAACAAGGTAACTTGTAACGTTCCTTCAGTTTTCAGCATATATATTCAACTCTGTGATTCTTAAAACAAGAAACAGATACAAAAAAAGTGTCTTTGTTGTTCCTGTAGAAATACATTCCTCTTGCTGGAAACAAGTCTAATGTGGTGAATACCGGTCAAGCAATGATGAGTTTGGTTCTTGCTGGTCAGGTTAGATATATATATATATATATATATATATGTTTAGGATTTGGATTATGCTTCTTACTAATGTTGGCTGAGATGTTACAGATGGAGAGAGACCCCACCCCGGTTCATCGTGCAGCTAAAGTGTTGATCAATTCACAGCTGGAAAACGGAGATTTCCCGCAAGAGGTGACTCTAATTTCGGCGACCAAAACACTCTCAGGCCTGTCGTGCCATACATTCTTGAAACAGCCTCAAGATTTGATCATACATATGGTTTGTTTTTTGGTCGCAGGAGATTATTGGGGTTATGAAAATGAATGTAATGCTCAACTTTCCGAGCTACAGGAACATTTTTCCGCTATGGGCGCTCGCAGAATACTCCAATCGCCTACGATTCATGCGTTCGAGTTCTGATTCAGGTCAAAGCGAATGAAATCGACCAAGAAAATGTTGTGTTTCATGTTATGTTCCTCCAGTGTTGGAGATGAACTTGTGTTGTTTTGTATTATGTAAACGAGAATAAAAAAAAGGTTGTGTGGATGTATACAGATTATCCATTCATCAAAATCATTATATTGCGAGGATTAATCAATTTTTTCAATGTGATAAACCCAGTAAAACATTTGCCAAACAAATGTTTCATTACCACATCTATCTGATGAATTCTCTACCACAGTTTTCTCATCTTAATACAATATATTTTATATATTGCAAATTATATAAAATTTTGTAAACCTTTCGTATATTGATTTAAAGCTTAGTTTATTTTATTGAAAAGCAAACGCCAAACCCTCAGAAACTTTAGAATCTATAGCTGAAATTTATAACCACAAAAGACAATCATTATCTTCTTCTCCGTTACGTAGATAGTTATTTTTCTTAGCGGGCATTTTCAATCTTTTGAAATATATTAGATTACCTAAAGAGAACCAAAAAAATTCGTAGATATTAATATACCATCCATGAAAACTCAATAAAATCCGGACAAAAAACATATGTACAATATGATGAAGAAAACCAAATTCTTCAGATATCAAACATGTAACTATAACAATAAAACAGAAGAGATGTGAAACTGAGTAGAAGAAAATATTCTATTATTCTCTCTTGACTTTTTCATATACATAGTTTGGGATATATTCATTTGGCTCTAAACGGCTACATATCTTTTATAAAATGGAAACACGATATTTACCCATAAAATATGAAAGTTAGTATATCATATTTGCTTCTTTCCTTGTCACGTGTTGATTGCATCCAATATTTTCTCATTTCCTTTTGTGTTGTTCGATCCACGTTGCATGTGCATGTTCGAGTGTTGTCCATCTTGCTCCGAGGGCTTCATGTGTTCTTCATGTTCTTCATGTCCGCTAACATATGCCACTTCGTGTTGGAAATTGGTTCAAGACCTGTTATCGAAGCTAAAGGTGGAGCTGGAGTTTCTCAAGTATTGGAGTAGTAATAGTTGTTGTCACGTTTTTTTCTGACACGTATTTATTCAACAGTTTTTATTTTTAGTGTTGCAGTTGTTTTATTAACTTCCATTAGTGTGCGGTTGTTGTTTTTTCGTACTTATGCAGAACTTTTGTATGTTTTTTATTAGGGAATGAAATCAGAAAATTGCAAAAAAGTGTGAGTTTTATTATTCTGTTTTCTGGTTTTGTTTCTTTGTTATGTTTCTCCGCAAAGCACAAACAAATCTGTTTGTTAAAGTTGTAGAAACATGTTTGGGTTGTATTTGTAGAATTTGTTTCAGTGGTATCTGAGCGTTTGTTGAATCTTTGAGAATTTGTGAAGGGAAATTCACCAAAAGCTGAAGGAAATGGATTAAGTTGAAGATTCATCTTTTGGTTTGAATCTTGCAGTCCTAGTTTATTATGGAGAAAACTATCAGATCTAAGCTGTCACGATGCAAGCATTTATGGAAGGGTCTGATATGTGGGAGGCTGTGGAAGCTGATTATGAAGTGCACCATTGGGAGCAAATCCGACAATTAATCAGATCAAGATTCATATGGAGAAGGTAACGAGGAAAGGTAAGGCAAAGTCGTGTCTCTTCTTAGTTGTTTCCTCTTCTATCTTCACAAGAATCATGAATCTTCGTTCAGCTAAGGAAATGTAGGATTTTCTTAAAACTGAATATGAGGGTGATGAGAAGATAAGAGAGATGAAGGTTTCAAATCTGTTAAGGGAGTTTGTGAGACAAGAGATGAAGAATTCAGAAAGTGTGAAGGAATATGTGGACAGATTGACAGCCATTGTCAATAAGGTAAGGATTCTCGGAACTCAGATCAATGATGATCGTATTGTGCAGAAGTTGTTGGTCTCAATCCCAGAAAATTATGAAGCAACCATTGCTTCACTTGAGAATACGAAGGATTTAGCAACTCTAAAGTTAGCTGAAGTTTTGAGTGCACTTCAAGCACAAGTGTGACACCTATAACCCGTATCCCGCGTTACGAGTTGTGTCACATGGACAATTAAAATAAAAACTCAATTCCAAAATTCAGCGGGAATTTAAAACTTTTCTTTTTCAGAGTTAGCGGAAGGTAAACATTCATACATGCATATATGATACATTATTTCTAGTTATAATTATACATAGTCAAGTGGTAGTAAAACATTATTACAAACCGTAAAGTCTACCACCGATATAGCACAAAACCGTTCCCCGGAATATAAGTGTATCATAGTACGTAATTATACATGATCGGTAGTGGTCAACTGCCCAGGTCTCCAATGTCCGATTCGCGTCTACTGTTGCTCACGACCTTAAACATTGCGTAACAACTTCCTAAATTAATTGCTTAGAGAGTGAACTCGGACGTAACTCAGAGTTCTATTCTAATGGAATCAGGAAAAGCAATACATATATATATATATATATATATATATATTCTAATAAACAGGAATCGAAACATGGAATCACGAGAATCATATCAGCAATCACAATCAAGTCTGTATGACAAGTCGTATGATGTAGTCCGTCAAATCGTCTCTACGCGCCTTTTGCGTAGGTAATATACTCTCCATGTGCATAACGTAACCACCTCTCTCCTCGGAGCAGTAAGTTATGAGCAAATTCGTGAAGTCCATCGAATTCATTCATACTTTTGACAGAAAATACACCATAGAGCACACAAAAAGAGGGAGATTATCAAGAGGCAAGAGATCAGAGCAGAAGACGGAGATTACGAAGCTAGAAAATCGACTAAGCATTCTTCCTTTCTTCTATTTTACGATGCTTGGTTGTATTGATATGAACCCCGTGTTGCTTTAGTGCTCTATGATGTACTGGTGTACGAGATTTCTTATGATACAGTTGATGTATTGACACTTTCTATGGTTTTATGGATGAGTGTTTGATTCATTACACGTTATGCATATTTTAATATGTTATGAAATCCATGTATTGTTATGAACAATACTAAACTCCCTAGTCATATATCATTGTGGAAATAATGATGTACTAAGACTAGTATGATATGTGATAGATGATCATAAAGATGATCATATGTATTGTGATCGTAGGTATTCGTTGGAGAACAGAATACTTTACTGACCCGCATGAGATTATCACATGGACTAGCGTCACGACTGGAATCTCATGTGACGGTTCCATGATTGGATCCTATGACATGAGATATCTACGGAATCCAACATGAGGAGTTGCGTACTTTGAATACGTCAAACGTCTTGTGTAACAGGAGGACTATAAAGGCGTGTATCAAGTACGACACGAATCATGAGCTGAATTGTAGATAGTCAAGATGAGATTTGTACCTCTCGTAAAAGAGAGAGATATCGTTGTGCCCCTTGTGGAAGCTAGACTGTAGAAATGTGTGGCCACGCTATAGACGAGCGTCGTCTATTTCGTACAGTCGAACTCAATGAACGAGAAAGCAGTCGAATCAGATAAGGTGACTTTTCCATACATTATGTTCGACATATGATATCGTAATACAAAAGGATCATCAACCTGATCATCACCGACGTTCGTAAGATCACGAGCAAACTCTATTCGAGATATGTAGTCATAGTGTCTTGATAGAGACCGCTTATGACTTGTATAACCGAAATAGAGATTCTGGGTTATACTGCTATATCGGATGAGCCTACAGGATCACATACATAGGAAAGGACAAATGCGCGAGAAAAGAAGAGAAATTCCCAGTGGAGCGGAGGCCAGACCGATTGGTCCAGACGCGTGGACCGATCTGTCTAGAGGTGACGAGAAAATGTTGTTTGGTTCAGAAAAGTTCCAGACCGATTGGTCCAAAGTCTGGGCCGATCGGTCCAGGCATCAGGAATTACTTATCCTTCTCTAATTACGGTTTTGGGTTAACTAATGCTTGTTGAACGCCTCCTAAAGATTAGATGACGATTTCACAGACTTTTTAAGAGGATTTTGAGATTGAAAAACCCAGAGTTAGATCCCTGAAATCCTTGCGTAAAGAAGAACGTGTTCTTCATTCCTTACAGACAAATTCCAACCGTTGGAATCCTTTCTGCCGTGTGGATACGTGTAGAGGGCGAGGTAATCTTTCTGCCTTTGTGATCCGATGAATACATCGATTGATACAGGCCCCGAATCGATTGAGGTAAGCGTTCTAATGTTTCTACAAAATCATGCATGCTAGGTTTTAGGGTTTCATAAAATTTTTGTTTTACATCCGTTGCGCTAATCCTAGAACCGATCTCTTAGGAATTAGATTCGCTCTAGAGATCCCAGGAATCCCAACAATTTCTTGTCGTGCTTGAGAACAATTCTCAAGTTACGATACCCGTATAAGAAGTTCGTCCCGGTCAACTTATCCTTCTCAAGGGTAGATCGCATCGTCAAACTTGGTACACTACCGGTCGACGCCATGTCCTACAGAAAAAGACAAAACACAACGAACAAAAACAAATACAGATTCTATCAATGATCTACTACCAGCTAGTCCATCACCAATCAATGACAATATAAATGCATTTACGAGCTATTCTTCCACAAAGAAAAACAACCCTATAATGATTTTCTATATGGGATTAAGATCCATATTTCACATAAGAATGACTTGTTACCCTCATCCTTATGCTATTTAGGTAGACATCTAATATCAATCATATCCAATGTGACTCTTAGATCATTTTATGAGACTATGATATCAAATATCATTGCATACTCGTCTCATCTGTACCGTTAAGTCTCAAGTCAGACTTGACAACTTAACCTAAGCTAAATCATATTCAAACTGTGGAAACCACGATTTTCCACCTCGCTTCACAAAGATAATCCGGCACGCTCAGCTTTGGCATGACCCGTGATATAGACGATCGATGGCTTGACAAGTGCTCTAGTAATAGAAGGTACAAGGTTATCATTACATAAAAAGAGATTTTTAAACCACACTTAGATCAAGCATCTACTTTCAAGCTATGAAAACCACCATTTCTCCATCTTGCCTCACCAAGATAGCTGATAACATGTATATATTGATATATTTTTGTATAAGAAATATATTATATTTAAGGAGATTTAAATCTTTATGAACGTTATTTTATATAGTTTTACACCGATTTCGATGTTTTCGATATTTTGCAGAAAAGATGGGGATTCGAACGTAGACGAGATATTTTCAAGGGGAATGAGTACGGAGTCAAATATAAACGTGTGCATATACTTATAGTCTATATATATATATTGTTTGTTGAGTATATATATATATTATATAGTTATATAAATATATATTACATATGCATGCATATATTTATGTATGTATATAATTATATATAGTATATCTATATATATGTAAGTATATATTATATATTTTATGTATATGTGATGTGTGTCTATATATATATCAATGCATATATATTAATAAATATTTATATATGTGTGTACGTATGTATATATGGTATATATATAATATGTACATGTCTCTCTATATATACCTACCTGATGTGTGTATATGAAATATGTATATGTGTGATATATATAATATAGAATAAAAAGGAGATAACGCGTACATGCATTCAAGTTGTCTCCTCTTTGTCCTTTTATGATAATTGTGTTCGACAACTTTTCCTTGAAATGCGCCATTCACACGACAAAGAAAATGACAGTCATTTCCCCATCTTTCCTTAAGAAGAGAAGCCAGAGACGAGCAAGAGGGATATTCGACATACAGATAAATGAAGAGAGAGTTTTAGACAATAATTTGGAGAGTTTTTCAAGTTCTTGAAGATTCAACGGGAGTTCATGGAGGATCAAACATAGGAGGACCAAGCTGCATAATTTATTGAGAAATCTCTTTTCCCTTACGCTTTGGTTTAATTATGAATTTCTGCTTGAATTTGTTCTGTGTAATTTCCATCATGTGTGAGTAAGTTTTCGTCATTGTAGGTTAGGGATTGAACGGGTTTATGTTAAAATCTTGTGTTTGAATTATCTTGAAATTTTGGTTTTACGGTTTGTTTTGGATGAACGAATCTTACTGCTATAAATCTTGCTGGCCACGTGATTTATTGATTTAAGAGTTAAAATTGCATAGAGATATGGAATTAAAACTCGGAAAGCGTTCTTTCGATTAAGCGATTTTCGCATCGAGAGATGGTTGCATCGCTTAGGAATTAGGATAACGCACTTAATAATCTTAGGAGTTTTAATTTATTTAGAACCGAGAGGTCGATAGATTTAAACTCCCGAGAAATGAGGTGAGGCTCGAGAGAGCCAATCTTTGTAAAACTGAACCTAAATTCCCGGATCCGTAACCATAGTTATTGAGATACATCCTTAGAATTGATTTTTTTTATATAACCCGAAAAATCCCGACACCTACAATGTTTTAATTAGATTGTGTTAAAACCGCTGTTTATATTTTCTTTAATTTGTGTTTACATTTAGTCATCTTCACCATCACCCAAAATATCGTCGTCGATCGAAACCGAGTAAATATGAAATTATCACTAAAAACCACATGTGTCCTTGTGTTCGACCCTAGAATACTACGATTGACCCGTACACTTGCGGTAGTTGTATCTAGGAAAATAAAACGAGATTAGATCACACCCTAGATCGACATCAAGTTTTTGGCGCCATTGCCGGGGATACAAACGGCTTTAGCGATACAATTAGGAAACTGTTCAGTTTAGGTCATTTTTTTCTCTTGTTCAATCTGTTCTTCACCTTTCCTCGTTGTTGCTCCATCCGTTTTGTACGCAGGATTTCTCCAGTGTATGACAAGGAGTGGTGGGTCAGAAAACCTAGTTCCTTTTGACCCTGAAATCGAGAAAACCGCCAAACAAAACCGAAAACAACATCGAGAGAGGATGGCAGAACACGGCGTTGTACCCGTACCCGGAGATGCGCATGTAAATGAAGAAACTTTTGCGCAGTACAATGCTCCAAAACATACTGAGCTCATGTCCGGTATACGGATGCCGGAGGTTGACATGACAAGATTCGAGCTCACTCCCGCCACTATCCAAATGTTGAGCGCCATGGCCTTCCGGGGTAGGCCGAACGAAGATCCCAATGCCCACCTCACGAGGTTCAAGATGATGTGCCGATCCATCAAGAGAGCCGATCAGGTAACCGAAGATGCAATCCGCCTGATCGCTTTCCCGTGGACGTTGATCGACGCAGCGCTCGACTGGCTCTATGAACTCGAACCGGATTCTATTCATACATGGATCCAACTGGAGAGCCAGTTCATGCAACGCTTCTTCTCCCCACACCGCACTCAAGCCGCCTTGAACAGTATCCACTCGTTCAAGCAAGATCACGGGGAGAGTTTGCACGAAGCGTGGAAAAGATACAAGGGCTATCAAAAATCGTGCCCTCACCACTGCCTCGATAAGAACTACCTGATTAACACATTTATCAGAGGTCTACGGCCGGATACCCGGATATTGATCCGAGCCGCCTGCGGAGGAAGTATTTCTCACATGTCCTTCACGGATCTTGAACAACATATTGATCAAATGGCGAGAGAAGAAGATTCTCCATTGGAGTCCGTGAGAGATATGCCCAGGAAAGATAGCGATTCTAAGTTGCAGCAGGTGCTAGACGAGCTCACCGCGCTAAAGACGAAACTTGCTAACGCAAGCTTTGTCTCATCCACTAGCACACCAGGCGAGCAACAGAGCGAGCTTGCTTTGTACGTTGTTGACAAAGGGATAGAAGATGTGAATTATGTCGCCAACAACCCCTATTCCAACACGTATAACCCAGGGTATAGGAACCACCCGAATCTCTCCTGGAGGAACAACAACGTTCTAAATCCTCAGCAGAACAACTATCGGTCAATGCAGAACCAGAACTAGCGGATTCCACCAGGATTCACCTTTCAGCCGCGGGCCCCACCGATGCAGAATCAAGGGCCGATTCAAAACCAACCATACAGACCTCCGGTTCAGAATTTTCGAGCACCCACACCTCCACCGCCACAACAAGACGGTGATTCGGAGATTAAGGCGATGTTAGCACAGCTGCTACAAGGACAAAAGACGCAAGAGACAGTGCTACATAGCCTGAAGATGGACCAAGAGGAGGTAAAGATTTTACAGGCGGGTCACTTCTAGACCGAGTGGGTCACTTCCCGGGAAGCCTGAGATCAACCCACGAGAGCACTGCAATGCTATCACCCTGAGAAGTGGCAAGCAACTTGAAGAGGTCACTTCACCGATGATGGAAAAGGGGCAAAGCTCCAAAGGCAAAGAGTCGTGAACGAAGAAGCTGAGGAAGTCTATGTTCCTCCACCACCAAGACCTCCACCCATTCCTTTTCCATCCCACCTGAAGAAGCACAATGAGGACCGACAATTCGCGAGATTTGCCGAGATGCTGAAAAAGCTTGAGATCACCATGCCTTTCACAGAAGCCATCCTGCAGATGCCGTCTTACACAAAGTTTCTCAAGGACATACTCACGAACAAGCGAGTCGTGGAAAAAGAGACGGTATCGCTCAACACCGAATGCAATGCGTTAATTCAACATGAATTACCGCCTAAAGAGCCGACCCAGGAAGCTTCTCGATACCCTGCAAATTGGGTAATGTCTCCATTGATAGGGCATTATGTGATCTCGGAGCCAGTGTTAGCCTTCTCCCACTATCGATATTCAAGAAGCTGAATGTGGGAGAGTTGAAGCCGACAAGCATGGCGCTCCAGCTTGCTGACCGATCGGTGAAATATCCCGCTGGGATATTAGAAGATGTACCACTTAAGGTGGGAAACTTCTACGTACCGGTCGACTTCATGGTATTGGACATGGACGAGGACTCAAGAGTACCGATCATACTTGGTCGTCCATTCCTTAACACCGCAGACGCAGTCATCCATGTGAGAGCTGGCAGACTGACAATGAAGATTGGCGAAGAGATAGTGGAGTTCACGCTTGATCAGAACCTCAAAAAAACCCTCTGTGATGGAGTCTTCGTACTTCATTGACATGATCGAAGTTTTGACGGATGAGGTATTTGGTCAATTGCAAGATCGCGATGCCCTGAAGATGATGCTCCTACACCCTGAGAAAACTGACAAGGAGCACATATGGACCTTTAGCCGAATCCTGGATGCACCCGACATACCCCCGATGAATCTATCAAGCTCCCTGATTCAGGCTATCCTGTCCTCTAAGGGTGACACCAATCTTGAGATCGCTGCCACTAACCGAGCCCAAGAATCCAAAGAGACTCCAATCATCACATCTTCGCCACTTAGACCCGACTGGAGTCGAGAAGATGCACCAGAAGTGGAACTGAAGCCCTTACCACAAGGGTGTTGGTTTAGTGCTCTATGATGTACTGTTATGAGCTTTATTTAGATACATTTGATGTATTGATACTTTCTATGGTTTTATGAGAGTATTTGATTCATTACATATTATTGCATACTAGATGTGTTATGAAATCCATGTATCATTATGAATGATACTAAACTCCCTAGTCTTGTGTCGTTATGGGAATAACGACATAATAAGACTAGTATGATGTGTGATTGATGATCATATAGATGATCATAGGTATTGGATACGATCACAATCATAGGTACTCGTTGGAGAACGGAATACTGGATTGACCCGCATGAGATTGTCACATGGACTAGCGTTATGAATAGAATCTCATATGACGGTTCCATGATTGGATCCTAAGACCTGAGATATCTACGGAATCCAACATGAGGAGTTGCGTACTTTGATTACGTCAAACGTCCTGCGTAACAGGAGGACTATAAAGGCGTGTATCAGGTATAAAACGAATCATGTACTAGATTGTAGATAGTCAAGACGGGATTTGTACCTCTCTAAAAACTGACGTTCGTAGGATCACGAACAAACTCTATTCGAGATAGGTAGTCATAGTGTCTTGCTAGAGACCGCCTATGACTTGTGTAACCGAAATAAGAGATTTCGTGTTATACTGCTATATCGGATGAGCCTACAGGGTCACACACACAAGAAAGGACGAATGCGCGAGAAGAGACGAGAAAATCCCGGTGGAGCGGAGGCCAGACCGACCGGTCCAGAAGGTCTGGACCGATCGGTCCAGCTAACCCAGACCGGTCGGTCTAGACGTAGACCGGTCGGTCCAGAGGTAACGCGTGAGAGTCACTCGGTCCGGAAATTGTTCCAGACCGATCGGTCCAGACATTAAAAAGCTCCAGACCGATCGGTCCAGGCCTTGACCGATCGGTCCAGACGTCGGGATTTACTAAACTCGCTCTAATTAGGGTTTTAAGGGGAATTAACTTGGAAAAACGCCTTCTAACTCTCTTGACACGATTTTCAGACCCTAGGGAGAGGTTTGCAGGTGAGAAAGCTAAGAGAAAGATCCCTGAAACCCTTGCGCAAAGAAGAAAGCGTTCTTCAGTCCTAGCAGACAAGTTCCAACCGTTGGAATCCTTTCCGCCGTGTGGATACGTGTAGAGGGCAAGCTATTCTTCCTGCCTACAGTGATCGGACGAACACATCAATTGATACAGGCCCCAGATCGATTGAGGTAAGCGTTCTAAAATTTCTACAAGATCATGCATGATAGGTTTTAGGGTTTCATCAAAATTTTTGTTTTACATCCGTTGCGCAAACCCTAGAACTGATCTCTTAGGAATTAGATTCGCTCTTGAGATCCCAG